AGAGAGAGAGAGAGAGAGAGAGAGTGGGAGAGAGAGAAAGAGAGAGAGAGAGAGAGAGAGAGAGAGAGAGAGAGAGAATGGGAGAAAGAAAAAAGGAAAATAAAGACTGTATTACTCAGTATTATTCACAATCCTGAGGGACGATATTGACTTCCATGTTTCCGATAAACGCCGATCTCCGGTACTTTTCATCTTCTTCTCTGTAGTATTCCATCCCTTCTCTTCTTATTATCGGGCTTCTTGTTTACGAATCTATGCGATCTGTCATTTCTTTTATATCCACCTTTACCACCATCCTTCTATTCTTTACGTACACCATGATTCTCCTCTTATGAATTCATCGATTTGATCTTCATTCGTATTTTATCCTCATCATGATATATGCCAGATATATATCGAGCTTCGTTTTTCGAAAAAAAAGAAACAAGAAAAAAGAACAAATAAAATGAGAAAGAGAAAATAAGGGTGATAATAAGATAGGATGAAGAAGAAAAACAAGAAGAAGAATATTATACCAAAAACTCGTTGAATGTCGGAAAGCATCGTAACCCTTCGTACTTAACCGAGCATTGGCTTTTATATTTTCCTAAAATTCTTTGCCCTTAACTTTACCTCGAAGTTACCTAAGCTGCCCCGTTGAATTATAAATATATATATATATATATATACGCTTTCTCGTTCGCCCGAGTGAAGCAGAGTAATCTTTAAAGCGGAGATTGCAAACTGGCTCGGTTGACTTTGAAATCATCGTTCTTTTCTTTTTTTTTTTCTTCTTCTTCTCTTTTTTCTCAACCTTTTCGTCGCTTAATAAAACTCATATAATGTAGGTCGTTAACTCGATATCCGGACGAAATCGATGTGCACTATTTCTTTTTTTTTTTTCTTTTAATCCTTATTTCACGTTCATTAAAACGAGGGAAATATCGAGCTACTCGATGTAGTTTACGAAGAAACAAATAGAGAATGTTTAACAAACATCTTCGTTGATGGCATCTCCGGATACTATGTTGGTTTTCCTGTGATTGCATATTCGTGTAAGATGTGTCCGCATCGAAGGCAAACTTTACTAAATACAATGCAATAACAATGCTACGAAATCTATTTAGTTGATATTCTGTTTAAAGCTATCGAATAGTATACAGGAGTAATAGTGAATAGAATGCAATGAATATTTCTCTTACATGAAATTTGGGAATTTCAAGATTAAACCGAATGATATAAACGTCTTACAAGCATGAAATATTCCTTTAAGTCTAAATATATTTTCATATATACAATACTATTAATAATTATACATATATAAATAAATATATTTTTTTTCATATACAATACTATTAATAAATATTTTGATTATTTAATTGATTTTCAAAAAAACAAAATATCAACCAAAGTTATTAAGATAAAAATCACATCAATTAGAAATAATAAAGTTGACAACGCATTACTATAATACAATAATATACTTAAATATATATAATACTTATATTATAATGAACAAAAGAAAATATCTACGTAACTATTTAATTTAGAAGTATTATAATATAAACTTTTTGAATTGATTAGAAATAAGTTGTTTCTTCGATAAATAACTCAAGACCGCGAAGAAGGTTTTGACTGATCAAAAACAGTCTGTGTTTGGTTTAGAAATTAGCAAAAGGTACGCAGGAGGAATGAAGAGTCGGAAGCAGTAACGGTGTATGTACTAGTATGTGTGTGGATACGAATAAAGTATGAGCGTCTCATTCCCGTTTCCAGATACAACTATGAGCGTTCTCCCTCGTTTGCCAACTAATTAATTCATTAAATAGGTTTAGCCTGACGATACTTTAGTACGTCCAAGAACATTTGAGGTAACTAACGTTGAGAGTTCGTGTCTTGTCGCTTTTAAGATCTTTAGAATCTCTCTCTCTCTTTCTCTTTCTCTTTCTCTCTTTCTCTCCCCTCCCCCATTTCTTTATTTGTCTTTATATCCTTACTTTCTACTCAAATGAAAATCCTTGCGAATACACAAGCTCTGTATTTGTCTCCCACTGTAGGTACACATTACATTTCATTACAGCACCAGCTGCAACGAGAGGAGAATGAAAAGGGGAGTACCGAAGAGGCGACTACATTGAAGCCAGATTAAACCGAGTTTCAGCTCGATAAATTTTCTAACTTAATAGATTGATATATTAAATTGCCCTGAAGGAACTAGTGGAATGATTTAACGGACGGTGCATTATTACTTTCTAAAACTTCTATGCAAGCTTCGTGACGCTCAACGAAGTTCGATGAACTTTCACGATTACTTTTGTTCTTGAAAATCTGAGAAATAAAGAAACGATAAATTTCATAGAAAATTGTTAAATAATTACTCGCGTTGATGCATAAATTAAATATACCTTTTACTTATTTATTTTGTTAAATATATATATATAAATGATTTATATGATATAAATAGAAATGATCGAATTTTCACTCTTGTCATGACTCATCCTCCGAACTTCTCGACTATGGTACCTATCTTCCGTTGCGGTTCTAACTCCGACTAGAGAGAGCTTCGTGATGCGTTGTCGGCGTTTGTGTCCAAAGATTCTATAATCCTTGGTCGGGCAAACTACAGAGTGAGAAGACAAGAGAGAGAAAGGGAAAGAGACAAGAGCATGTCAGAATGTGTTCAAAACTTTCCATGGCTTCGTGGTTGCCAGAATTGTAACCGGAGCAGCAGTTCCTCCGAAATCGTACAGCACGTTTGTTGCGAACTATGCAGGTCATCGTCGACCTCAATAGTACGATAACGAGTTTTCTTTCTCTTTCTCTTTCTCTTTTTGTCATTAAAAGATTTACCAATCTTATATTTTTGTTCTCCTGTTCTCATTTTTATTTAATTTAATTTTAGAACAACTAAATTCATTTCTCATTATATATTTCTTGTTATTCATACCATTCTCATATTTACAGATTTTTAATATCTAACAAGTTTATGGCATAATTCTGTAGGTAATTACGAAAGTAGCTTTTCTTTTTTATGCAGAAATCTGGAAACATTGAATTTGTCACCTATTTTGGATTAAATTGATTAATTATTATTATTGTTACGTGAAATTATCAAAAAAAGATTTATAATTTGGATTACTTCTATAATTATTAGTTAATGGATTAATAACTTAATACTTTTTATTACGTAATTTACTTATTGAAAAACAATCCTTATAAGATAATATTATATGAAAAATTCCTCCAAATATACTTTCACAAATATATTATCCCATTCTTCATTTAATCATTTTTTCTTTATTGAAATTGAAAAGAAAAAAATATCGTAGTGTTTTAGCGATCTGTGTTTGATCTTTCAGTGATCAAAATACGACGAAAATAATGACAAATCTCCTCCTCCTCCTTTATCTTTTTCTTTCTTTCGTTATTGATATCATTTGCAAATGGAATTTCTCGTTAAGGACGGATCGTAATCCTTGGGAAATCAGAATGCAGTCTAGCTCGACAATGATAATCAAGAATAGTAAGAACG